CAAATAAACAAACATATCAGTCATTCCCTCAAATCCTCCATTTTCTACTTCAAAGAAAATGGGATCTATCGCACATGCTGGGGAAACTCGTCCTTCCCATGGCGGCGCCGATGATTTTCGAAACGGACAAGATTCAATTGGTCGGCGATGAGTCTATCTGGGGGCGCTCGCTTCTCATCTCCGGTGACAAGAGAACCACGTGTGCTAATATACATGTAAGTTTTATTCTATTTTTCTTTTTTATGATTTTTTTTTTCATGTTGGTATGGGTTTTTCTTTCGCTTTCATCCTCTCTATCTGTCCGTCTGTCTTTGTTTCTTTCTCTTTTCCTTTCCCTTTCTTTCTTTCTTCTCTTCTCTCTCGTCTCTCTCTCTCTCTCTCTCTCTCTCTCTCTCTCTCTCTCTCTCTTCTCTCTCTTCTCTCTCTCTCTCTCTCTCTCTCTCTCTCTCTCTCTCTCTCTCTCTCTCTCTTTCTCTTTCTTTCATTCCTCCCCCCTCTCTCCTCTCTCTCTTCTCTCTCTCTCTCTCTCTCTCTCTCTTTCTCTCTCTCTCTCTCTCTCTCTCTCTCTCTCTCTCTCTCTCTCTCTCTCTCTTCACCCCCACTCTTCTTTCCTTCTTACCATAACTTTTGATCATTACTTATGCAAAAAACTGTATCAATTATAGCAATGACAATGTATGCATAAATAAATAAATCCAATTTTCTTCCTCCCTACCCCCTCCCACCCCTCTCCTCCTTCCAATCCCTTCTCTCCCACCCCTCCAATCCTTCCCTCCCTCCACCCTCTCATCGCCTCCCCCTCCCACCCCCTCCTCCCTTCTCCCCATCCCTCTCCTCCCATCGCCACCTCCCACTCTCCCTCCCCTCCTCACCTCCTCTCCTCCTCCTCTCCTCTCCTCCCTCCTCCCCTCCCCTTCCACCCTCTACCCACCCCTCTCCCTCCCCTCCCTCTCCTTCCCCCTCTCCTCCCTTCCCATTCCCCCTCCCTCGTCATCCCTCCCCCTCCTCTCCTTCCTCTCCCCTTCCCCCCCACCCATCTCTCTCCCCCTCCCCCCTTTCCCCTCCCCTCCCCCCCCTCCCTCCCATCCACCCTCCCTCCCCCTTCCTCTCCTCCCTCCCACCCCACTCCCCCCTCCTCATCCCCTCCTCACCCTCCCCTCCCCTCCCATCCCTCCCCCCACCCCACTCCTCCCTCCAGGGCGTGGGCGGCGAACGAACCTACGAGACGCGGTTCTTCAGTTCCCGTGGGCGGCTCCATCTGGATCCGCTCCTGGACGTGGAACGTGGGCGGCGCGGAGGGGGGCGCGGGGGCGAGACGAAGGGCGTGCAGACCCATCTTCACCGACGTGTTCAACACCGCCGACGACGACCCGCCCACCGGCAACCACGACTGGGCCGTCTTCATCACCGACATTCTCGACGACAGGGGTGAGTCGGGCTCCTCGCTCTGGGGGGGGGGGGGGGGGGTGTGGGCGTTTATTGGATTACACGTAAATGTAGATACGCACATACATACGTACGTACATACAGATATGCAATCACACCACACACACACGTACATAACAGATAACGCACACACACACCACGTACATGCAGATACGCACACACACACACACACACGTACAGCAGATACGCACACACACGTACATATAGATACGCACACACCATACATACACAAAATGTACATACAAGATACACACACACACGTACATACAGATACGCAACAACACACACATACATACAGATACGCACACAGACATACATACACACACGTACATACAATACAACACACACACATACATAACACATGTACACTACAATACAACACATACATACCACACATACATACAGATAGCCCTACAACACAACATACACATACATACACACATATGATTGTGTGTTTGTGTGTGTGTGTGTGTGTGAAGAGAATAAGAATGAACATCTTCACAGTGCAAAAAAAAAATGTATTAGACCTTATATATTCGTTAAAAAAAAATAATATTAATAATAATAAATAAAATAATAAATAACCAAAATCGTTCAAATACACTTCTTACCACTGAGAAAAATATTCATTCTCATTCACGTTCTTTCTACAACGAACAATTTACCGCTTCGAGGCCGTGTGTGATAACCTGTAGCTAATAACCAGCATGAACTTCCACGGTCAAGAACAGACGTGAGTAAAGAATAAAAGAAAAAAATCATGAGTTGGAATATGCAGAAGATTGAATTACAAGAGACGTGAGTAAAGAATAAGATAAGATAATAGTTGGAATATGAAGAAGAAAGATTGAATTACAATAGACGTGAGTAAAGAATAAAAGAAATTCATTTATAATAAATAAAATGCAGAGGATTGAGTTACAATAGACATGAGTAAATGAATTAAGATAGATAATGAGTTGGATATGCAGAAGAAAGATTGAGTTACAACAGACGTGAGTAAATAGATGATATAATGAGTTGGAATATGCAGAAGAAAGATCGAGTTACAGCAGATGTTAGTAAAAACCAAGTTAAAAAGACACGACTTGAAGAAGGAAGTACATGGGTAAGGACAAATATAAAATAATAAGTTATTTTTTAAAAATCATGAGTAAGAGTGAACAACTAAAGCGTTTTTAAGCAAGGAAAGTTCTTGCCTGATATCTCAAGCGTTTTTTTCTTGCGAACTCAAGCATTTCGCTTGCTTTCTCAAGCGACCTCCGTAGATGGCTTGACTTGCGCTTGCTAAGTCAAGCGGGTGTACCGTCACCATGGCAACGGCGTCGGTCGCGTACCGTACTGGTCACGATCCTTCGAATGCGGGCGTTGGCCAGGAACTCCGCTTAATATTATCAGATAAATAATTTTTTCACGGTATCTGATTCTGTAATTTTCTTAAAATCATATTCAAAGAAATTGAAATTAACTGAAAACGAAAGGAGATAATGGAGATTATGGGAATAAAAAGTTTTACTTATGAATAATAAATGATTATAAGACGAACAATTTTACTCATATTGTTAAACTTCTCGTCTTTCTAAATCGAGAATATATCAGCTATTTTATGAAATGAAGAATATTTCAAGTGAAAAAGTCTGAGAAATTCTAGCAACATTCTTCTGTTGATATTATATTTGATGATTTGTTATATTTAACCTCATAAAATCGGATATATGGGAATGGGTAGGCCTACATTTCAATTCAGGGATATTCATTTGTTTTGATAACGCGTCAGAATGAAAGGGCTGTCAATCGGAAGAGTGTGTCATTGTTTTAGAGGCACTTTCTATGAATATGGGAGAAAATATAGCGCTTTGTTAAGATGTTTGGGTAGATTTATTTACTTCTCTGCCATCTTGATGCGGCGCTAGCTTGTCAGTTGTTTTGAATTGCGCGCTCAAAGTGTTACCAACCGCAGGTGAAATAAACTCCACCCTCGACTTGTGCATAAGTTATCTCTTTCCGAGATTGTTGGTGGGAATATTGCTTTTAAAACCCAAGTATGTATATATTTCGGTTTATTTTGATGTTTCTATGCTCATCAAGGACTGTTATGATTTGTACTTTATAAACAGACATTTCCACATGTCTGGCATCACTGAAAGGGGCCTGCCTGCCTTGGAAAGCGTTTTAAAGCAGGGAACGGTACAACGCTTGGCAAGAATTTTGCCAAGCGCTCCCCTGCTTAAAACGCTTTAAGTTGAAGAGACACGACCTGAATAAGAACGTAAATGGGTAAGAACAAATATAAGATAATGATAAAATTATTTTTTAAAAAATCATGAGTAAAAGTGAACATGGATATGGACGACCTTAAAAACGACCATCAATTTTTTTTAATAGATAAGAATGACCATTTTTTCTTAAACGACCATGAATAACAACAAACATAAATACGACCATACACCCAAACACCCATAACGCAAAAACGACCATGTGCTATTACGACGCTGCGCAAAACGACCACGTACTAATACGACCATGCGCTAAAACGACCACGTGCTATTACGATAACGTAAAAACGACCATGTGCTAACACGACCATGCTCTAAAACGACCACGTACTAGTACAGCCATAACGCAAATACGACTATGCACTAAAACGACTGAGCTAAAACGACCACGTACTAATACGACCATGTGCTAAAACGACCCTTCGCTAAAAACCGACCCACGACCTGAGCCCATACACCCAGATCCAACCCTGAGACCAGTGTGCAGTGTCGACCCCCCCCAGCAGCTGGGTTGCTTCACTCAAACGGGGTTGGCAAGCTGGGTTGCTTCACTCAACGGGGTTGGCAAGCTGGGCTTCACTCAAACGGGGTTGGCAAGCTGGTAATTACTCTGCGCAAGTCTTGGCGTAGAGGTCGACATACGCACGTTTACATGACCGTATGCATATATATATACGCACATTCATACGCTAATAAGGGCGGATAGACGAACGTATATGTACGCATTTTCGTGTCCGTATGCGCGTGAGGGTTTGTAGTCGTAAATGCAAGGTATTCAGACAACTTGCAATTACGTGAATATTATGGGTCCTGTCATTTTTTTTTCTTTCTTTTCTTTCTTTTCTTCTTCTTTCTTCTTCTTCTCTTCTTCTTTTTTCCTTCTTCTTCCTCCTCCTCCTCCTCCTCCTCCTCCTCCTCCTCCTCTTCTTCTCTTCTTCTTTCTTTTGCTTCCTTCCTATATTTCTTCTCCTTTCCCTATTTATTTTCTTAGGTTCTTATTCCTATTCTTTCTTTCTTATTTTATGTTTTCTATAATTTGCTGTGGATGTTTTTGAGGGCTGAAAACATACCGGTCGCCATGACAGTATGATTATAACATTTTCATGACTAAGATACTAGATTATGATGATGATAAGTATGGTCTTATAAAGATGATAATAAAGCAATGATGGATTATAAAGCATTAAAATTATAAGAAAATTTAAAGCAATAAAAAATTATTGATATAGGTAAAAATAAAAGTATAAAAAAATATAAAGCAATGATGATGTGATGGCAATAATGATGATAACGGGGATTTGATGATGAATATAATGATCATAATAGCATTGACGATGAAAATAATAATAATCATAATAGCAATAATGATGTTGATAATAATTATAATAACAAGAGCAATAATGATAGTAATTACAGATGGCGTTCACTTGAAACCACTTAGTGAATGAAATATATCTGACTTCTTTACCGTATTTTTCCTTCTCTTTACAATAAAGACTTACATGTTTATTATTATAAGATTCAACCGTGATTTACGAGTTTAGAAAAAAAAAATAGAATAATAAATAAATGAAAATAAACATGCAATTTCACATTCAAAAAGAAAAATTGTAACGTTTTTTTTTTTTTTTTTTAATTTTTTCTGTTTTTTTCTTTTGGATTATATTTTGGAAATGTTGATCTGAAATCTATTACAATTCTGTTCATTTAGGTTTTGAAAATATTAGCGTTTTCTTTTTCCCTGTTTATAAAAAAAAATGTATTCATTTAATTTTATTCACTATTTGTATCATTCTACTTATTCATTTTTATGCTTTTCACTTTTTTTTAAAACTAGTTTTTTTATTTTTGTTTTCCTTTATTTTTTTTTCTTCTTTTTTTTTTTTCTTTGTTTCTTTATTTTTTCTTCGTTTCTTTTTTCTTTCTTCTTTCACCTCATTTTCTCTTTCTTCCTTCTCTGCTTTTTTCCGATTCCTCTTATTCATCATCCTCTTCTGTTTATTCTAACCTCTTCACCGTCTGTTCCTTCTCAATTGTATTTTCTTTTTCCTTCATTTTCGTTAAAAATCATGTACTTGTCTTTGTTATTTCACTATTTCAAAAGGAAAAATATATATTATCTTTTTCCAAAAAAAAAAAAAAATCAAAAAAAAACTCTCTCTCTCTCTCTCTCTCTCTCTCTCTCTCTCTCTCTCTTCCTCTCTCTCTCTCTCTCTCTCTCTCTTTCAACAAAAAGATTCTTTACCCAACTTTCCATTTCTCAGACATTATTCCAATCGTCTTGACTGCCAGAAAAAAAACACCACGAAATTATTTTCATATCGTAAATTGTAGGGTTTTTTTTATGGACAGTAAGCTTCCCAGATTGCTACTGTTTATGGTCGTTTCAACAGAGGTCAGAAGATGAGTCGTTTTCTCTCTTTATTCGTGGCCTTGGGCGAATGGAGATAGAGAGGGATGGGAGAGCGAGTGGGAAAGGAAGAGGGAGAGAGATTGGATGATAGGGGAGAGAGATTGACTGAAAGAGAGACGGAAGGAGGGAGGGAGGGAGAGAGATTGACTGAAAGAGAGAGGGATGGGAGAGCGAGTGGGAAAGGAAGAGGAGAGAGATTGATGATAGAGAGAGGGGGGAGGGAAGGAGGGAGGGAGGAGATTGAATGAAAGAGAGAGGGGTGGGAGGGAAGGAGGAGAGTGTGGTTGACTGAA